AACCAACGTCTCTTCATTCAGCACTACCTGTCTCTTGATGTCTGTGCACTCATACCCCCGACTGATCCGATCAATCACTTGTAGTATTATCTGTTCATATAGTTTATCATTATTATTGTTATTATTATTATATACAGTATTTAATTTATATCATTTTAATATCACATTATACTAATATTTTCATAAATATTTATTCTTTTGAAAATATAACAAATGAAAGTTTTCATATTTTGATTAAATAAACAATTTTATGATTCGATATTAATTTATTATTCAAATAATAGAAATAATCAGAGAGAGAGAGAGAGAGAGAGAGAGAGAGAGAGAGAGAGATTCTTTAATTTTAAAATATTCTTGGATATAAGATTTATTTGCATGATTTGGTTACTTAATTATAAATTACAGTATATGTCGAGTACTTAGTCTTAATAGAAATTTATGCTACAGTGCAATCAGTATTTAGTAATGTATTATAACTCTGTATTAATTCATATACTACACTCAACATTCAGTATATCAGGATAGTTCAGATATTCGCTATGGCTTTAGAAAATGTAAATTGAAAAAAGTTAATTAGTTTTGCAATAAATAGTATTTTCAGTACGATACATGTAGTTTCGAGTTAGAGTACTATGAAATACGAAAATTTTATTTTGTGATCAATTATTATATAAAATGATTTCAATAAATGTTTTTCATCAAAGTATGAGATACGGTGATGAAAAATGGTTCAATTAAAAATGATTTCTAAGTACAGTAGTTTAGATCATGCAAATAGACTCACTAAATCAAGTTATGGCTAATATTGATTTAACTGAACAAATATCACTATTCTTAAAAATCATATACAAAACATGTCAAGTTACTTAATTAATTAATTAACAAAACAAATTAATTAATAAATATATTCTGAATAATTACTAAATTTCAGTATATTTTACCTCGTTTTGGCTATGATTGTGATGGGAATGAGTGTAGTCTTGAATTGGCGTGAATTGTGGCGACACATAAACCGACGGCGCCATCAAACATAAGATTATAATCTTCAACATTTGGACACAAATATGGCTTAATATGAGTTGAGGACCACATATAAGTCGACTCATTTGGTTTGGTCTCTGGATCGACATTTTTGGTATTAATCAACTCAATGGTTGGCCAAACATCTCACATATTCTTCGGCACCATTGGTAGCCATTTGTCTCACTATTCAATATATCTGTTGAATATATTTGCACATCAATTAAAATATGTTGTATTTATTTTGTTATAATGTTTTATATGAATAAATGATAACTAATGTTTATTTAAATATTGTGTTTAAAGAATTATATTTTATACTAAATTAGTTGCATGATATTTATAAATTATATGTATAATTATAATTATAATTATATATCTAAATTCAAGCATTGTTAGGCATCCACTCAACACTTATTATAATGCTTTCAATTGTTATATAATTTTCTGTCTTTATTGAGAGTCACTTCTGTATTAAACATTTTAAAATATTATTTGATTAAAATTAAGTTCATTGTTAGTGAAGACCAAGATAATTGGATTTATATGTAAATTATAAAATTTCCACTTTAATGCTGCTATTTATTTACTACAATATATTTAATTAATCTCAAGTGTTTTTAACTGATTTATATTTTTAAAACATTTTTATTTATATAATTCAATACAGCATAGCTAAAAAATCAATAACTAGATAAGTCGGCACACAATATTTAACAACATTCGTATCTCTATCATTAAAATTTTATTTAATAAATTATATTTTTAGTTCAAATTGTTTTATTTGAGTTTATCTGTGAAAACGTGATAATATAGTTGTTTATTTGAAATCTAAAAGATTTGATCGAAAATTGCATTTTACACTCGTTTCAGTTCGCTGAAGATTTCCTAATAAAAAACACTTTCATATTATATGAAAATTTTAGTCAAATTCTGTTAGAAAATCTTCTTAACATAAAATTTCATTTGCAAAATATTATGCACCATTTTTATCAAGGATAGAATTACAAATAGATTCATATATTTCTTACTATTTTCATGATTTTATCTCGTTCATTTACTAGTAAAACTAGTTTAATTATTGAACATCAGTTGAAATCTAATTTCAATTTGAAGTCTAATCACAGTTTATATTTTATTTACACTTTATATATAACCGTATATTGTGAAAACATTGTGAAAATAACATCTCTTAATGCTCTAAAACATTTAATCGCCCTAGTTTAGTGAATAATGTATATTGACATAAGAAAATGGCATATTATTTGATTTACAAACATTTTTATTTACAATCTAAACATTGTATTGGGTTTAAGGACTTAACAAAACTTTAAAATGTCATCTCAATTGAGTTTTACTTAAATTTCTTTGGATTGTTTGTCAAAATGTTGCCATCATTTCGATGAGCACTTCCAAACATCTATAAATTTCTTGAATTCATGAATCACTTGAATACACATATTCTGCAAATACTGTGAACTCTACAGAATTGTAAAATATTGCCTATTTTATCATATTTTATATTTCATACTTAATAACACACACTATTTACCCTGTTTCATTTAAATCTAAACTAATATTCCTATGTATATTCAATTCATACAATTAATAAATAGAAAAAATTGTTCACAGAACTATACTTGAATTTGCATTTATATTTATTCAAATAATAACAATTATACTATCATTACATTATTAGATATTAAAGATATTTATAATAATGTATAGCAATAACATTATATTGTCAATACATTACACAGTGCTAACATGGAAATATTGAAAGTAATAAATAAATATTTACCTTTTATGTAAGATTAATTGAATGTGTTTTAAAATCATTATTTAATCTCCCAAATACAGTAATACAGTAGTTATTAATATCAAAACTAATTGAATTCAAATAGTATA